GGGTCAAAGGAACCCTACGTAGTAGTCGTCGGGCGAAGAGACCACCACCGTGCAGTCGTCGTGCCACTGTAGTGCGTGGGATGGCTTGCTTTGAAATCCTGTTAAATGGCATTGCAATCAAAGAGGCTGACTGACGTGGATCTCTTCATGCCTACTGCACAATGTAGCGGTCTTACCTTAGAGTAGTTGTTCTTGGTCGACCACCTCCTCTCCTTCGTGCAGCAGTATAAGAGGTTCGGAATGCTCCCCGTGCACGTGAAACAACGCTGTGAGCGGTATCAGGTTCCTGAGCTGCGTTCGTCTTTTCTCGACCTTTTTCGAGTTTCCCGATGATCCTTCCTCGTGCCAGGTTATCCAGACGATGTCAGCGGGATATGATGTATAGAAGGATAACACCACAGTACTTGGTAGCAACTATCTGATTGACAAAAAAATTTTTTTCGTACCTAACAGCTCCATCAATTTGTGCGGGTAGCCATATTTCTCGCTTTATTTGAACTATTCCTCCACCAAGGGAAGTCCAACTCCCTGTGCATAACGGTCATAGGTCTGACAATATAATCCCACTCTTTCATTTATTTCCATCCAGTCCTCAATGTCTTATGTTACATTACCCATCTCGTCCATAAGTTTTGCACACCAGTGTAGGTCTTCCTCTTTGATATCATGAATTCAATCGAAGCTGCAATTATTCTTGAAATAAGAGATCAAATTTCGGAGTGCAGATGACTATCTCCCAATAATTTACGCAATGGATCTTAAGAATCCCATCAAGAGAAGTCCACTTGCGTTTTAATGCGTAATCGTCCAATACAATGCTTTGCTGGCGAAAGTTATGAGCGGCTCAGTGCTTTCACCCCACACCCCTTCCTCGCCAAACAACATATCGCGATTTTGTTCTTATTGATGAATGTAGATCCCTCAACAGACCTCTTTCTGCACGGGTGCTTGTGCAGTGACGTGAAATGTCTTCCTTTTCGCTGCCACATCTGGACTGTAAATGAGCGCGTGAGCCCTAAAATTAAAATATGTCTAAAATTTGCAAACTTGAGACTGTGCTTTCCATGCTAGTTTTGTGTTAAGTGCGGCTCTGTCTGAGCTGAATCGATGTGAAGCTCTTACACTTGCGAACAAATAAAAGCGTATTCCCATCTCCCCATCTTGAGTAACAGAAGGTCTAGGGAAGGAGAGTAACGCGTTCATTTAATTGTTCATCATAATTAATTCACATAGCAGCTGAGCACCCGCACCTTGTACGCTCCCTGCGGGCAGAAGTCACGCTTTGCGGGCAGAACTACCTCATTGTTGTGTCTCTGAGCCCGATTCGTTACAACGGATAGGGGTTACTNCCCCCCCCGCCGTATCGGAAGGTCGGTTCGTACTGCCTTACAACTCAAATAGCGATCATCCAGACAGGACGCTCTATACTGCTTAGCCAGACAGGTTTGTTATAGAGTAATCGAACTAGATAAAACGTCAGAAGCGCTATTGCTCATACAACCAGTATTTCTGAAAGCGAGATTTACGACAATGGAAGCCCTTCTGTTGAACAGTAACAAGTAGTAACGTACCATTGCTTGCGTCTCATACGCGCATTCTTCACCAGTTTTCCCCGATTCCTTCGAGTATTCGTAGCGTGTTGATTCGTGTGGGGTCGTTTTACGGATAGAGGGGATCGCATCGCTTCACGTGATTACTGATATGGCTCAGTGGTGTAATCAGCTGAAAATAGTAAGGAATCAGTAAATGGAAGTGGAGGAGTGCCGACAAAAAGGCTTGCAGCGATCGAAAACAAAATCGCACAGCTTATTCATCATGTAAGCTTGCTTTCAGAGAGGGACTTTGAGAGCTATATATGTGAAGGGAAACAGCAACAGCGCCGATGACACAACGACAATGTGCCACTAAGCTGTTTGACAGGATAATTAGATAGAAAAATAAACGATATAAAAAGTAAACGACTTGTAAAAGGAATTCCAACAATGGAAAATGACTCAAACTGAGATAATTGAGCAAGTTGAGCGAATACATTTTAATTTAGAAGTTGTGACAAGTCAGTTGCAGAAACCGTTAACTACTACTAGGTTGGCAACTAACAGTTGTAAAGGATCTCCGTGAACTGAGAAATTTTCTAAGCCCTTCAAACATTTATCTCAAATGGTAACTGCCTGCTTTTTCATGTGACTTATACTTGTAGACCAGGTACCTGTTTCTTCATTGTATTCAGAGCTATACCGAATCACTCAGTTGCCTCCTACTAGAACCCATGGGAAGTGCAGCGCAAGCATCTGTTCGAAGACCACCCGCGTGATTCATATTCCCCAAACCCACGAGGATTATGAATCGTTGGCCAGAACGTAAAAGATCATGTTCATTACCATTACCAAAATGAACTGACGGCGGAAAGCATTATATGCACCTTACAAACTCAAATACGTCTACGATTTTGAATGGCAGTTGAGTTCATTGCAGTCTTCAAAGCAATCGATCAACACTGAGCGTGTCATTATCGATCTGAACGTTCCATGTATTCATGTAAAAAGCATATTTTTGCACAATAAGAGATAGTTAATCCTGCGAAGATATGCCTAACAAATTGCCTTCCTCAGCAATTGGGGGTGGGGAGTGAAGATGCTTCGATACTGGATGTATCGACATGACAAATACAAAAGGAATGGGATGCAAGAAGGTATGAGTCAGGCTGGCGCAGACATTTTCATCGAATTACTCTTGAACTGCGAAAGTGAATAACTTGGAGACATAAAATTCTTTGTCTGTATCTTGGAAATAAACAGCAACTAGAAGACAGTTTATTAGAATACCCCCTACATGTTAGTGCATCAGTGGGATAGATCCGGGACAAGAGTGCATCTGCCCTATCAATCAATCCCTATGAGACCGTTAGTAGTCTTCGCAATTTTACTTGGGGAAAAATGGAACTACTAATTGGGAAACCCCTTACAGAAATCATTTCTTAAGCCGAAACCAATCAAACTAAGGCGGTCCTGAAAGATGGTCACATTCACTGAAGAGAGGGATTCATCAGCAAACATTTGTTGATATCGTAATTGATCAAGATCAACGTCCATCATCGACTGCTTACTTTAGGCTCTAAAGCTCGAGGTCTGTAGAGAATTGCTTAGAATATTCCTGAAGAACAAATGCTTGAAGCAATTCTCAATGGATTTTAGCAACGGAAAGGCCGGATTCGAACTTGAGACAAGTACACGTTGGATATGGGTAGCTAACACGGTTACTTCATGGTGAAGTTTGCAAGAGGAGGGAACATAAGCTTTCAGAAAACCAGGGAGGAATCCAGATATTGCGAAATTTTGACAGATGTTTTACGCACAACCTAATATAGGGGTATACAAGTAGGGAACTGGGAAGTAAGCTCGAAATAAAAGAACTAAACAGCANGGGTCAAAACAAGCATTTCAGCATATATGGTCCAATTGAAAGTGAAGGTATTCTACCAATCCACTACACAAAGTATTTGACAAGAATTTGTAGGGAAGTAAATGGTATCTAATGCTGCATGTAAATTATCTTAAACAACAAAAGAGACACTGTGCGAGTGATCCCAAAGACTTCGAATAGAGCACCATATCACGATCACCAAACGAAACAGACTGGCTGGCTGCACATTCCCACATAGATATTCTAGGAGAAGGCAAAGTAGAGCACTTTTTGTGAATTAGTCACTATCGATTTGCCAATCAATATAGACAAAACCACTTCCAAACAAAGAGGAGCTATCTATCGGGCTCTCCGCTCACACAATATACGCAATATGCAATATTGTTTTTGTTTTTAGAAGAATGACGCTGTAGAATTCCCGTTTTCCATAAAATTGCCATGAAAATCAAATGTTTGACAATAAAATGAAAACTTTCTGCACTTTTGATATTTCTACCGTACTGCATTCGCCTTCACGCAGCATTTTGAATGGCTCATACGGTCAGAAAAGCTGCTGCTTCTGATTCACCCAGCCGCCATGGAGATTCACTAAAAAGTGGAGTTAAACGTTTTGAAAGGGGGACACAAGGGTCAAATTATGAGAAGCCAAAAGAGATGAACCGAGAGGGCAAGCGGTGTCTGCTAGTGCGGGGAATAAAGAGCACGGTACCCGAAAAGCACAGTTACGGGCTCGTCCGTCCGGGGCCGAAAATTTGCCCCTAACTCGCCATTCTTTTGATACCTTCGGCCCGCGTACTGCGGCGAGATAACAGCAGGACGAATCATCAAGCCAAAAAAGGATAGCTCATCTTCAACCAGAATGGAAGCTGGGACTATACTCGCTAGTACACTAGGGATGGACGCTGCTTGAGGAACCGAATTTCACTATTTCATGATATTGCATAATGGTTAGATATCTACGTTTTCATCTCAACTTAAGTCGCTTTCCAATAGAACTATGGTAGGTTGGTAACTATAATATTGTGAAAAATCTATAAAACAGAAGGAACCTCAACATAAATACTAAGCTAAAAAAGATGCTTTCAGAACAGTATCTTTCCTCTTAGCGTGATCAAACATTGAGATCATCGGTATAATATTGGCAGATTGAATGACCAGCTCTACCATAATTTACTTGTAAGACTTTCAATCTGAAGCCGAATGTTTCGTCAGCATAAGCTGACGGACAGTAGGAATGAAGATGGCAAAGCCGCACTAACAAGAGGAGCGGAAGCCCACGGTCTGTTTCATCGGTACTGGATGATTAAAGAGTGGGATCGCAAAGCCATCGTTTGGAAAGCCACTATGAGAGGTTAAGAACAGCACCCATTCGCTGCAAAGAGTTTTTCGAATTTATAAAGACATTCAATTCGCCTTCATCCACTTCAACTTGGCGTCGTTACCGGAAGCGTTTTCTTTTTAGTGGATGACGTGGTGGGCCAGTCAATGGACCATCCCACTCACATTCTTCAAAAGGGTCTGCGGTTAGAATTCGAGGGCTAATTGGCTCTCACTAAAACTTGACCAGTATCAAAGAAACACCTGAGTTTCGTGCCGTTATAAAACTTCTTCCTGAGACCGGAGAGGACTTTTCCAAAAAGTCTTTCTCTCTTTTCAATATGAAGACAATGAATGGAGAGGGGTGCCTCGTAAATCCTTCAAGTGGCCCCTAATCAATTCAGATTATCTCTTGAAAAATTCATTCGACCTCTTGGGGTCCTAACCATTACTTTAGGCACTATTTCAATAGTTTTTTCGACTTCTGCAGAGGTTCCCAAAAAGGAAGAGGGCTGACCTCAACACGGTAGTCTTGTAAAGAACTTCTTGAATTGTAATCGGACGCCCGAATCTCAGTGCTTTTTGTAAATCGTTTCTAAGTAAACATTGCCTCAATGTGGACCATAAAACGTGCTTCGGGGTATCCCAAAGCATTATGCAAATAAAGCGTGAAATTTGATCCCGACAAAAACATCGCAAACACTAAAATCGTTCAAATGACGAATAGGTATTTAATAAATCAAGGGTATTTCATTGAAAAAAGTATCAAAAAACAGTTCTTCCACTGTATGGGATACGTTCGCGATTTTGATGCGAAAGGTGACGCCGAGTGTGATCGGAAACCGGAGAAGAATATAAATTATAACCGGTTTCAGGCAAGAACTGCAGCGCGCCTGAAGCCGTAAAGTATAAAAATGTAAGGTAGTAAAATTGAATGGAAAACCTTTTTAGAATATATGGATCGAAATTGCAAATTCTTCTCTCAAGGTTTTTAGGCTCCCAAGCAAATTCCACCACTGCTGAAGTGAACGGAGTTGAAAATACCATGCACTACCGATAAGGAAGGTGTTATAGAGGAATTTCCACGATGAATCAACCGCTTCTGCTTCGACGGTACTGCCTAGTACTGCTGGTTACGAGACGATGAACAACTTTTACGGATTACAAACGATAGAAAAAACGCCCTCAGTACTCGAGGTGACATTAGCGGAACATAACAGACGGAGTAAGTTTATGCGAAATACTATTAGTACTGTCTACTAAGAACAGATAGATCAGATAAGGATCAGAAGTTGTGAAAGAAAGAATCGATGAAGAATGTTAAATCATCCCTGCCCACCAGTTTGAACGATGATGCAACAAAGTTCGTGTCTTTGGCGAGTTTGAAAAGGGCGCATCGGCGACCCTACTATTGACACTGCCACGGTTGTTCCTGACATAACTGTGGACAATTCACAAGTAACTGTACGGCCAAACGGATGTCCCCTTGAATGATTCGTCCAAGAGAACATTTTGTAAACTATGGCGTCTGGTACTACCATGCACAAAGTCCAAAAATCAAATCAA